TGGCAAATATATATATATATATATATATATATATCTCTTGTGGATTTATTTATATATAGGATTTCAATGGTATAAGCCTAGGATTAAGGGTACAGGGGTAGTTTCACAAACTTGTGGTACTCGTCACGTTTTATTTAGTGAAGCAATGAGGTGAATTATCTCATCTATGACATTTAGGTAAAGCAGTGACAGTAAATGGAATGCCTGTCACACTACCAAAGACCTACAGTGGCAGCGGTCTGTCTGTGGAGAGGGTCGGCCTTTTTGTTGTCCTCTCTTCTCGACTGGGAATCACCTTGCTTTGGGACGGAGGTAAACCACTTTGTCTTCTGTCTTTTATTAAACTTCAGATGCTCAGGAGAAAACGTATAATGAATTCCAACATATAGTATGTTATTCTAATAATAAAATGTTTTACACATATTATAATGCAGGTCACTCCTTCATTTAACTGTGTTCTTTTCACAGGCATGCGCGTGTATTTGCGTTTGGAGGTCCACCTGCGAGGTCAAGTCGGAGGGCTGTGCGGGAACTTTGACGGGGACACAGAAAATGACTTTACAACACGCCAGGGAATTATAGAGTCTACACCCGAGCTGTTTGGAAATTCTTGGAAGGTCAGCCCATCCTGCCCTGATGTAGAGAAGCAGGACCTTCGTGATCCATGTGCCGTGAGTTTACAGATTAGTCCTAAATGAATATTGATGATAGATTTTCTCAAAAACTTTGGAGTGTTTAAACTTTGGCTTTTCAGTTAAACCCCCACAGAGTGACATGGGCCAGGAAAAAGTGTGCTGTGCTAACTCAGGAGCTCTTTTCATTGTGCCACACTGAGGTTCCCTTCCAGCAGTATTATGACTGGTGTGTCTTTGATGCTTGTGGGTGAGTGAAATCATTAATCTATAAAGTATTACACTCTTATTGTGTAACTTGGTTTCACAACTAGGGTGACCAGATCAAAATCAAATAACAAATACGTATTTGTGTGGGATAATGTGTTAAATGCTGCACCATATTAACATTTTATGTCCATCTTAAATATTAAAAATCAAACTGCAGAAAATGTAAATAAGCTTAATGTACTGATGGAGCACCAAATATAAAATAAAATGTTAAAATATGTCTCTAACACATTTTCATTGGTTAGCTCACTTTCTGAGTGTTAACAATTTTCCACTAACATTTTATTGTTATTTAGCTCACTGTTCTTACATTTTGCAAATGTATACAAAATGTTAAATTCAAATGGTAGATAACATGTAAATATAAAATCTATATTTGTAAATCTAAAAGTAGGGAAGCGCTAGTAGCGTTGGACCGCGTGCGGTCGCTATTGTCTCAGGATGACTCAGGATTATTCTAATGTGAGCCGAGCACCAACAGCATATGTTGCCTTCTATTCCGAAATACTTAAATGTAAATTCCAACACTTAAGCAGAGCACTTAATAATTAACTTTTACATTTAGACTTAGGATTTAATATATGACCCATTCTTGCATGTTTGAGAAAGCCTTGAATCTCCTGTGGTAGCCATGTGGAGCTGTCTAAACACTTGCTCATACAAAGCACCGCCTATTAGTGCCTAGCTCCTCCCAGGAGCTCAGTCTGCAGCCGAGTTCCCACCCCACAGAGCACCCCTCCCCCAAAGCATTGTTGTGAAGATGTGCTGAAGTAGGAGTGTAGAAAATGGTAGGGGTTCTTAAAGAGACATAGGGCAATTTCAAGGTGTTTAGATAGACTATGATGTAAATTTAACAGCATTTTTATAACAACTGAAGATAACATAGTTAGTCTACTTGATTGTCGTATAGAACTACCTCCCTTTAAATTTAGCAAAATGTAAGAACAGTGAGCCAAATAATGCAATTTTAGTCGAAAATTTTGAGTAGGATTTTACACTCCACAATGAAAATGTGTTAGTGATGTGTTTTTTTAAAAAAACATTTTTTCCCTTTGTGCTCCTTTCTATTCTATATGAGCTTTTATGATTTCATCCTTTCTAATAAATTGGTAATACTTTGCTAGATTTTGGTTTTAATCTTAAGGCTGAAGTTTGTAGAATAGGCTGTGTCAGGAGGATGTTCGGTGTAAAATAATTGCCAAAGCTTTCATGTGAGTTTGCTTGTTGGTGAGATTCAGCCAGGGAAAAACCCAGAGCACAGGCAAAAGTCCAAATGGCAAAAAGGTTTTAATAATAAACTCAAAAACAGCTCCAAAGCTTACCAAAATCTCAGTAGAAACAGAGAGAATCACACAGGCTGAAGGAAGCAGCACAAAAACAATGATCTGACGCAGACTGAACACAGGACACAGAATATAAAGGCAAATAAATAAGGACAACAAGAAACACCTGGAGGAGACACAAGAGGAAACAGGTGAGCATGGGCAGGGCTGGAGCAGGGCAGAGATACTGTACACAGAGGAACACTGAAACACTAGAAAACAAAAGCAAAGACAGACAGATCCTGACAGGACCCTTCCCTCAACGATGGCTCCTGATGTCGAAAAAAGGAGAGGAACAAGACTCAGGGAAACAAGGACACAACACAAGGGAGAACAAGGACAAAACACACAGTTCAGGGGGACGGCCCGAAGACCATCCAACACGGGGCAGGAGATCTGGAGGATGGCCAGGTGACCATCCACAGCGAGGCCCAACTGGAACAGACGTGGAGCCACGTGAGGAGGCGGGAGCAGACGTGGAGCCATGGGAGGAGGTGGGAGCAGGCGACGAGCCAAGGGAGGAGGTGGGAGCAGAAGAAGAGCCAAGGGAGGAGGCGGAAGAAGATGAAGAGCCGACAGAGGTTGATGGAGCCAACGTGTCAATGATGGTGAACACATGTGACAGAGGCAATGAGGAGGCAATGGTCGATGACCCAGGCGATGGGCGATGACCCAGACGAAGAGGCGGTGATGGCAGCCAACCCAGATGTCGTGGAGGCGCCGGCAGCTGACCCACGAACCTCAAGGACCGCCGACTTGGGATCCGCCAACTCAGGAGACACTGGGACCGCCAACTCAGGAGACAATGGAACCGCCAACTCAGGAACAGGGACTGGAACCACCAACTCAGGAAACTCAGAACACACGGGAACAGATTCAGGTGGTTCGGCAGACCCCAAAGACTTAGGTGACCCAGGGCGCAGGCAAAAATCCAAATGGCAAAAAGGTTTTAATAATAAACTCAGAAACAGCTCCAAAGCTTACCAAAATCTCTGTAAAAACAGAGAGAATCACACAGGCTGAGGGAAGCTGCACAAAAACAATGATACGACGCAGACTGAACACAGGACGCAGAATATAAAGGCAAACAAATTAAGGACAACAAGAAACACCTGGAGGAGACACAAGAGGAAACAGGTGAGCATGGGCGGGGCTGGAGCAGGGCAGATTACACAGGGGAACACTGAAACACTAGAAAACAAAAGCAATGACACACACATCATGACACTGATGTGGCAGCCCCTGAAGAACAAGACTAGAACGTTTTTTGTTGTTTGTTCAATGGATGTGTTTCAGCTGTGACTCTGGCGGGGACTGCGAGTGTCTCTGCACAGCCATAGCTTCCTACACTGAGGAGTGTAACCGGCATGGAGTTTACATCCACTGGAGGTCCCAGGAGCTTTGTCGTACGTCCCCGTTTTACACTCCAACACATCTATTCACTATTCACATCTATTCACTTTTCACTCTGGTAACCCTGCTTGTGTTTTACCTGCAGCTCTCCAGTGTGACAAAGGACTAGTTTACAATCCATGTGGACCTGCGTGCAGCCTGTTCTGTCCGAGTGTTCAGCAAAGTTCATACTCTCGGTGTGGTGTGCTTTCCTGTGTGGAGGGCTGCTTCTGCCCTGCTGGTACTGTCAGACATGGTGAGTTTCAGTGAGTCACATTTTCTGAAGATATTCTAAAGTTCTTAAAAAGTCTTCTAGAAAAAACATTTTACACTCTGTGGTCACTGAACAAAATTCCAAAGCATTTTTTGTGTATTTGTGGGTGTTTATGTTATAGCCTATATCCAAGTAAGCCACAAGTGGACTCTAGTGTGTCACTTCATAAACAGACTGACATGGTAATGACCCGTAAAGACATTAGGAAAGGAAAAAGTACCTTTTTTTCTTCCCTCCAACTTTCTTCTGCATCCTGTTGTCTTTACTGAGGGTCTTAGTTCCACTTGACTTGGTGGTTAAGTCCCCCTTGTGGTCTGGTGCTCTTTTATTTTGTGGAGTTTGCAGCATTTTCTTACTCAGAAGCTGAATTTGAATTGCTCAGACTGAATCCGTATTTGCATAATTTGAAAGTGAACGCATTGGTTCGAAAACATGGTATTTTTTTCCCTTTGCATTTGTTTCCTTTGTTGCATGTTTTTACTTCTGTCTGCTTTTTGTGGTTGCAGAATTTTTCTCTGCATTTGTTTTTTTGTGTTTGTCTGTTTTGGAGTTTGCATCACTCAAGTGTTTGCAACGTGTTCAGGCATTTTCTGTGCATTTGCACCTGTCGGCTACGGTAAATTTTGTGAGAGAGGCCAATAAAATTCTATAGATTTAGTCCTCAACAACACATTCCACATTCTTCCATGTCAGACAAATGTACAGTTGGTTTCGTTTTCAGATCCCTTAGTATCCTCTTGTTTTTTTTTTCCATTTAACAGGTGACAGCTGTATAATGCCTACCCAGTGTCCATGCGAGTGGGATGGTTCCATGTTCCCCCCTGGAACATCTATCACTAAACACTGCCAGAACTGGTTTGTCAGTCTAAACGCTTCACAAGAAAATGTTATTTATTTTTTAATTAATTAATTTATTTATTCTGTCAAAGCTGTCCGTTAGTTTAAAATCCGATGTTTGCCTTCAGTTCTTGTGATGAGGGTCTGTGGCAGTGTGAGGGTGTGGCTTGCCCTCCTCCCCCACCTCCATGTTTGGAGACTGAGGTGGTGTGTACCAGTGGGCGGTGTATCCCCTCTCAGTGGGTTTGTGACAACGAGGATGACTGTGGTGACGGTTCAGATGAGATCTGCCCATCCACCTGCTCCCCAGACCAGTTCCGCTGTAACAGCAGGCCCAGGTGAATCAAGATTAGCTTCACTTTACAAATTTGCTCAATTTCTGTCAGTCTACTTAAAAGATAATAATAATAAAATCCTTTTGCGTTTTTAAAGCTTGATTCATGATTTTGCAGTTTTATGGGGTAAGTTATGGAAATGTGCACTGAAAGATCATGAACATACAATATTGACATTTGGCTTTCTTCTTTGTGCACAGAAATTTCTCCAGATTCTCTCTTTGCATGCTGTGAACTGCATTTGTTGGTTGTGGAAAAATATTCTGAAATTGATCCACCATTTTTAGAAAGATTTTTGGGGACTGGTAAACCTCTGCCCAATTTTACTTCTGAAATATTCAGAATCTCAAAAATGTTCTTTGTACATCCAGTCCTATACTGACCCATTGTCACTTAGTTAGCTGTTGAACTTAACTAGTTGCAAAATTCTCCATCTGTTTTCTTTTTACTTGTACCACTTAATTTTACATCCATTTATTGCCTGTCTATATTTTCTTAAGGTGTATTGCTGACATCCAATTCAAAACAACCCTGTTTTTCCCAACTGTAGTACAAATACTCAATCCAAGATTCGACTATCCAACGGACCCTCCTCTCCAGAACCCCTGAATAGACCTTATCAGGGAGGATTAGAAGTGTGATCCCCCTAGAGCTGGAGTGCACTCTGTGGTCCCCCTTTTTAAATAGGGGGATCATCATCACAGTCTGCCAATCCAAGGGAACTGCCTCCGATGTCCACGCAATATTGTAGAGTCATGTCAACCAACGCCATCCCACAACATCCAGAGCTTTAAGGAACTCCAGGCGAATCTCATCCACCCCTGGTGCCCTGCCACCAATACTTAACACACACCAGACCAGCTGTACACCCTCAACAGGGTCCTGGAGGGTGCACGTGAGTTCACCCAACCAGTCTACATGTGTTTTATGGACTTGGAGAAGATGTTGACGGTGTCCCTTGGGGAGTCCTGTGGTGGGTACTATGGGAGTATAGGGTACTAGGCCCATTGATATGGGCTGTTAGATCCCTGTACAACCGGTGCCAGTTTGATCCACATTGCCAGTAGTAAGTCGGACTYGTTTCTGGTGAGAGTTGGACTCGGCCAAGGTTGCCCTTTATCTCCAATTTTGTTCATAACTTTTATGGACAGAATTTCTAGGCGCAGCCAAGGTGTTCAGGGGATCTGTTTTGGTGACCTTAGGATCACATCTCTGCTTTTTGCGGATGATGTGGTCCTACTGACTTCATCAGATTGTGATCTCCAGCTCTCACTGGAGCGGTTCACAGCCGAGTGAAGCGGCCAGGATAAGGATCAGTGCCTCCAAGTTCGAGACCATGGTCTGGAACCGGAAAAGCTTAGCGTGCTGCCTTCAGGTCTGGGAAGAGGTCCTGCCCCAAGTGGAGGAGTTTAAGTATCTCAGGGTCTTGTTCACGGATGAGGGAAGAATGGAGCGGGAGATCGACAGGCGGACTGGTGCTGTGTCTGGAGTGATGCGGACGCTGTACCGGTCTGTCGTGGTGAAGCGGGAGCTGAGCCTTCTGCCAATCTGTGTTCCTACCCTCATCTATGGTCACGAGCTTTGGGTAGTGACTGAAAGAACAAGATTGCGGATACAAGCAGCCAAAATGATTTTCCTCTGCAGGGTGTCTGGGCCAGAGTGACCCTTAGAGATAGGGTGAGAAGCTCGGTCATCTGGGAGGGACTCAGAGTTGAGCTGCTGCTCCTCCACGTCAGGCATCTGGTTAGGATGCCTCCTGGACGCCTCCCTGGTGAGGTGTACCAGGCATGTCCCACTGGCAGGTTGTTGCTTATTGCAATAAACAAAACTCAAATGACCATTCAACAAAGTGCCTTTATTGTTTGAATCACATATTGCTGTTCTTGTTAAATAAATATATCCACAACAGTTTGGCTTCACAAACAGGATCCACTCTGAAATCAATGGGCTGAAACTATTTCGCAGGTGGATTCATATATGGGTAAGAGAGGACTGCTCGGGACTGCAACTTCAGCATAGATCAAAAGAACCTTCTTAATAACAGGAATATGCGAAACAGATTCCAGTTTCGACTGCTGTTGAACAATAAGCAATGGGAAAAAAGAACTCTGATAACAATTCAACTACAGAAGGACAAGCTTTTTAAAATGCTTCCCTTCATCACAGAGGATGACAACAAAATTCTCCAGAAAATACAGTAGCAGTGTTGAAAATAAGATTCATTTGTTTTGGAGAAATGAATGCTATGACAGAGATGACACATACTCAAAAGAGTGAGAAGGCTGTGTGGGGAATTTGGATGCAGAAGGGAATGGGAGTGAATCAAGGAGCATGCCTTCCTGGAACTCTCTTGGCACAAAACCAAATAATCTCTCAGGGATTATTCAGCATCTGGATGAAATAGAATGGCCACAGCTGCAGAAAAACTCCCTAAAGCCAAAAAGAAAACAGCAGTGGATTGTTGACAAAATAAATTATTACAGCAAATCTGTGGCAAACCCAGGAATTTCACAACAAAACAGGTTGACTCCACATTTACAAGCCCATGACTCAGAGGACAGCTTATTTTCAGACACCAGTGAGAGGTCTGGCACCAGATTCAGCCCTAAACAAAAATGGGTTTGGAAAGAGATTGCTGCCACAAACCAAGAAATGATGATAGTAGTGGACGGAGGTGTGGTTAAATTGAACACTTTTGGAACAAAAAAAAACATTAGACTTTTGCTTTGTTGAAAATATGGTGTCTGATCTCACATTGAAGATACTGGAAGTCACAGCTGAATATCCAGCTCTAAAGACAATCAGACTTCTTGCAAAAAGGGTTTTGATAATTTGTTGAACAAAGTTCAGAGCCTCGAGATGGAGGTATACATCAGCGGATCCATCCCCACACATCATGACGTGGTGATAACCAATTCAGTAGACTGTTGATGTTAAGTGACTTAAAAAATTCTGTTCTGAGCTGACCATTCAACGAACCACATATTCCTGTACTTGTTAAATAAATATTTCCACAATAATTATGTTTAATTATAAAAAATAGTTTTTTAATTACTGCATTATTTTTATTTAAATTTACACAATGCTTCTTATAGTGGGGATATGTTTTTGTTGCTTATTCTGGTGTAAAAAAGTCTTGACCAGGTTTTTGAGAACTACCTCAATGCAGTACTCAATGAGATGATCAATACTTTTAGTACAGCTTCACAATGATGATGTAAGTCAAGTCTTTTTGATTGTATAGAATCCTTAATTGACTGAGGCAACCCTAACCTTACAGTGGACCATGTTTTAACCTGGCTCTGCGTTGTGATGGCCACCCAGACTGTGATGACCAATCTGATGAGGAGTTCTGTGGACCCCCCACCCCAGTGCCCCTATGCTCTCCTGGAGAGTTTCAGTGTGCCAGTGGAAAATGCCTGCCAGGCACTCGAGTGTGTGATGGACAGCTCGACTGTGGCTTTGCTGATGGGTCTGATGAACAAGGTAGACAAAAAAAAAGGTTCATTAATTCTTTTCTCTGCATTTCTGCTTTTATGACAATTTTGCTTGCTGTGTATTTTTGTTGACTCAGACTGTGGTGTGGTGTGTGATGAAGGGGAGTTCCTGTGTCCAGGAGGACGATGTATTCTCTTCATCCATCGCTGTGATGGCCATGATGATTGTGGAGATTTAAGTGATGAAAGAGGGTGTGTTTCTAGTTCTGCCTGGGGACTATAGGATAACTGATATTACTGTTATACAAAAATTATACATTTACATAAACTGTTTGACTTTGCACAGTATTCTCTGTGGTGCACACTAACTTCCATCCATTGTACCTGCTTAATCCTGCTGAAGGACTGGAATACACCCACCAGTCCATTTCAGAACAAGTTTTTCTTTTTTTACACCAATATAACAAAGAATTAAAATAAATTAGCCTAAAAGTGATAAACTCACAAGGTGTTTTTTCAATTTTGATTGATTATGGTGTCCACTACCATATAACCCTCTAACTGATTTGTAGGTGTGTGTGTGCACCAGGAGAGTTTCAGTGTCCAGGAGATCAGTGTGTCTCTGCAGACAGATTATGTGACGGACACAAAGACTGTCCATCTGGAACAGATGAAGCTATTTGCCCAAGTAAAGGTAAATGCACACACAACTCACACGAATTAGATGTCATGTATCAGGAATCAATAAGAACTATCTAGCCATTTATTTTAATACATGTTGAATTTCTTTCAACTTCTTTGATATCCTGCTTCCCTGTAAATAATTCAGTGGCAAATATATATATATATATATATATATATATTTTACATTGCAGTGACCTGTGCTCCCAACCAGTTTGCCTGTGTTGATGGTTCATGCATTTCCAAATCTAATCTGTGTGACGGAACAGCTGACTGTCCAAACAGAGAGGATGAGAACAGAACCAGCTGTTACACTGGGATCACAACATCATCTGTCAGCCCAACTTCAGGTGAAAATGGAGATTGCAGCAAACTATTTTCTAGTTCAGAACCATTTCAACATATTGGTTTATTATTCGTAATATTTTCATTCTTGATTGACTCTTGGTAGCGCTTTCTTTAATACTTTTGTTTTTCCAGCCTGTAGGTCCTATGAGTTTATCTGTGCCAGTGGTGGTCAGTGTGTTCCTCAGGCATGGCACTGTGATGGGGAAACAGACTGTTTGGATGGCAGTGATGAGCTGCAGTGTGCTGCTCCATGTGGTCCTGGCCAGGTGCTTTGCCTCAGTGGGGACCACTGTGTAGATTACCAGCAGCTCTGTGACGGGACCCCACACTGCAGGGACGCTTCAGATGAGAGTGTTAACAACTGTGGTAAGCTTTGTTTTTTTTCTATTGAGCTACAACAAACTGATAGGAATACATAACCTTCCCACCATATGTGCCAAATACAGTATTTACAGTGTTCATACCAGGTAATATTTACCTGGTAATTTACTAAATCTAACTCAGAAATGTTACATAAAAATGTGTTTATCCTTTAGCCACAGGATGGCAATGTTATACAACTGACCATAGATGAGTTTAGCTGTGGTGCTCACTTATACATTACTG